GGGCCAAGATCATCGGGATGAAAAGCTCTTTCTGAACAAAGCGTAGCTGAGTGCGGAGCTTCTTGACACTGGGGAGCACCTTGGCAACCAATGGACGCATGAAGTTGGGGAATGGACGCAGCAAAATGACAGTCACACCGAGATTGATCGTGTAGCTGGTGACTGTTTTGAGCCACTGTGGGTTACGGCAGATGTTCCCTCCAACAATGACGCGAGAAGTAGCCCGAGTAACAAGGCCTAGGATCATGTCGTAGAGGTTGACCGAGACCCAGCGATCTACGGCCGTTGTCAGTCTGGTGCTCGCCTAGCTTATGAGGATTGAGTTGGACACACCATCACAGTCAGGCACTTCCACCTGGAATGCGAACTGAAGTTCATCGAGGAGACGAGGAAGAACTCGACCTTGAATTCGTCTTTGTCGGCTTTAGACACTCAAGCAAATGTAAAAAAAAGCATGTACTTACCGATAGCTGGAGTCAGACCCTTGTGAACCGTCTTCACAGGTAAATGGCTATCAATGAGAACATTGGTGTATTTGCCAAGGATGTTCTATTGCGAGGCGTCAGCTCATTCTTTCCTCGTGAAGTCAGGAAGCCGGCAACATACCTCGAATTGCGCATCGACGCCGCTGAGCTTGGATGGAGGCAAATGACGAATCTCCGGAAGGTACTTTGGAGGCAAAACAAGCAAGTCGCCATCTGCCTTGAGGACGCGGTAGGGCTGATCTCTGTACTGCAAGGCCGGTCAGCTGGAGAATGACAGACGTGAGCGGAAAGAGAGGTGAGTACCTTCTCATAACCGTACTTGATTAGGTAAGGCGCCACGAAAATGAACATGAGCCGGTTAATGAAGTCCGGAAGGAAGTGACTGAATCTGACAGTAGGGATTTTGACTGAGCCCTCGCCTGGTGGGTAATGGTAGAAATAGAGAGACGAGGAGAGTAGTAGGGCAAATGGCCAACATGGCAGTTCGAGCGTCTGGTCAGCCATGACTGAGAACTTGACAATCTGATGATGCGAAGCTGTGCTAATGATGCTCCATCCAGCGATTGATTGATATGAGGAAGCGCTATGGAAGTATATGAGCAGAGTAGTAGCGTAGGGTGAAGGAGGTAAGACGAGGGAAGCTCGCGAGATGCATCGATAGGGGGGAGCATTTCTATCTGTGCAGCCAGCGAGGCAGGTGAATGAGCAAACGATCAGTCATGGAGAGAGCCGCTAATGAAAGGAATTAGAATGCTGGATATCTCCAGATGCAGTGAATGTTGTGCTAGATATGCTGTTACCAGACGGCATATTCCATTATGTGAAGGCCCTAACGGGAATATCCGCCTAACAGCGAGCATAAGTGAGAGTCGGCTCATCAGCCTTCCCTAAGTTTGTGGAAGACAAATGCCCAAGGACGAGCTTGCTAGATCATCAATAGTCTATTTGAACGGAATATGCTATTAGCACATGCTACCCTAGGAACAACAGGCTATAGGAAAGACTCCAGGACTTTTACTTGCTCCCTTTTCCAGGTATATCAAAACACTCGAACGCCAGACGCAAATGCAAGAAGAGAAGATGAAGAATGCGAGAGGAATGGCAAATGAGGTGTATATGGGTACAGGACGAAGTGAGTGAGATCATTCGAGGCCAACCCATTCCCCCTCCCTATCATCACCATCTGCATCAGACATGCGCTCATCCTCGCCGTCCATAATTACAGCATCATAATCTTGAATAGCTTTCGGAGCGCCATTCTTTTTGTCTGCAAGTACCGGTTTCGAGAGGAGATAATTGAGATCGTACACATTCTTCTCCGTCAACTTCCTCAAATTCTCCCGAATGTCATCAACAGCCCGCTGTATGGCACGCAGTTCTGTTGCGAGCGTGCCTGCATTATCCTTGAAGTAGCGACCATGGATGCTCAGGAGAGATTCAATCCACCGCAAGTTGAACTCCAGGTGAGGCGTTTCTTCAGCAGCCTGGGCTACGAATCGCAGGAAGCGAGAAAGGTAGACGGTGGGCAGTGCGTGTACCACAAGAGAGATCTCTGAGGGTGGAATAGCCTCATAGACAGCGCGAATGAGCTTCGACTCGTTAAGGCGGAAAGCCATGACCAACGCTTTCAAAAACGTATTGTCATCGTCTGCTGTGTTCATCGAGTGCGCCTTCTTGGCAGCGTCAAGGGTGGCAAGGATAGTGGTGGGAGTGATATCGATATCGAGGTCAAATGGATCGAAGACAAATTCGGTGTCGAGACTGTAAACGAGAAGACCCTCCGTCGAAGCTGCGCAAAATGCGCGCCCGGTTGGGGAGAAGTCGACTGCAGTGACACGCACGTCCGGTCGAGTCTTACGTGTCCCAGCATCGCCGCGCTTCGCGCCGGGAAGGCTGCGGTCAATGCGATCCTCCAGATCCGAGGCTTCGCCTGTCTCGTCAATGAGACCTCGAGGGCCAGCCTCTGTCAAATCACGACTGTTCAAGATTTCCTGGGTGCCGTCTAGAGAGGTGTTGACACTAACCGTGTATTTCTTGAGCAGTGCACCCGATCTCACATCGTACAGGCAAATGTGCTTGCTGTTGCCACCAGCCAGGATACAAGAGCCGTCAGCGCTGTAAGTGATGCAATTGAAATGTTTGGTTACCGCCGAGTTCGCGGCAGTCACGCGATCGCCCATCTTGCGGCCGCCGGACACATCGCGACGACCATCAATGCCTCCTTCCTGGACTGCGTTGTCCACAGACCAGAAGGTCAACTGACCATCCAGAGTAGATGCGGCAACCTGCTTCCCGTCAGGCCGGAATGCCACATCCAGAATATCTGACATGAGCTGCAAAGGTTCGCTAGTCTGCGTCCTTCCGAAAATGCTCCATACTCGGACAGTACGGTCCCAGCTACCGCTAACTAGATGGTTGCCGTCCGCGGCGAACGCGAGAGACGACACGGGCCCTTCGTGACCGGACAATTGGTCAAGAAGTTGACCTGTCTGCACCGACCACACGTGGATATCGAAAGAATCCGGTGACCCGGCGCAAATGACCTCACCACTTGGGTCGACGGCGAGAGAGGTGAAAGACGTGCGGGATGGTGCAGTGAAGGTTCGGAAGTTGCGATAACGAATGAGATCCCATGCCCTCACTGAGCCATCCAGAGACGAGGTGAATAAAACACTTCCTTTCTTGGCAAACTGGCACGCAGTGACTCCGCTCGAATGCTCGGTGAATGTGACAATGCAAAAGCCGGATTTGACATCCCAGACCTTTACTTTTCCATCATCCGCGGCAGTAACAATCTTTTGCCCGTCTGGGGAGTAGGCAAGAGCGTTCATCGAGTCCAAATGACCCTGCTGCTTCAAGATATAGGACTCCGATTGCCATTCCCACACGAGCAATTGACCATGTTTCGACGAGCCAAAGGCCAACCACTCACCGGACTTATTGACTGTCACGAAGTCGATGTTACTCTGAGAAACACTAAAACTAGTCAGCCTAACAGTCAATCCTCAGGTAAGAAGGGTCATACCTCAGTTGATGGATCGGGTTGAAGTCCGGCAGATCGTACAGGCCGAAAAGGCCGTTGGAGAAACCTACAACCAAGAGATTTGAAGGGGCGTGAAATGTAGCACAGTTGACCTTGGCATCGTTCTGCATGAAGTAGTCTTTTTTGACAATCCGCCAACGAGCTTCGGCAATATCTTCCATCGTATCCGGATCTTTCTTAGTCACGTACTCCCACCTGAAAAGAGCTCCATCTGAACTGATTGTGTAGATCTTGGATGGTGTCAGCAAGGGACTCCCGTAGATATTTCAGTTCAACTTACGGATTCTTGATCCGCTGTAAAATAGGCTGCCTTCACGCCTTGACGATGGCCGGCCAGGGTGGTGGGTTCGAAGCCTTCCTCCGGATCTAAACTCCATATCCGTGCTGTGAGGTCTTTGGATGCGGTAAGGAGGAAGCGTGAGTCTCTGGACCACTCAATATTCTGAATGACATCGAAATGCGCGGCGAGGTCTCGGTGCAGAACAAAGGGTGCGAATTCAATCTCTCCGTTATTATCGGTACCCGGGGTCGAAGGTGTGTGCCAGATCTGCAACCGTCTTCCCACTCCGACAGCGAAATGACGACCTGTTGCCGAGAATTTGAGTGCAGTGACTCGACCCTTAAAGGAGAAGTGGTGGATTACGATCCTCCGAACGAAATTCGTCAAGATAGCGCGACCATTCTCGTCAACAGAGAGCAGAAGGTTGCCGCGCGGCGAAAGATCTAAACGATCGATATTGGTGCGATGCGAGAATGGAAGTGTGTATGACGTGTTCCTTCAGCAGGCCATCCAGTCAGCTCAAAATTCGACGAGTATTCCAACCGCATGTAAGAGACCGAACATACTGGACAAGGTCGAAAACTGTGACCCTATTGCCTACTGGGGAAAGCAAGCAGTTTCCATCCGGCGTGAAGAGAAGATTTCCTTTGCGATATACCGTCCCCAGAAGGTTGGAGAACTGCGATTGAGTTAGAATTGCGGTCGCAATGAGGGCAAGAAATAAACTCACCTTGAAATCTGTCTTCATTGTCTCTGATAAGCGTGCGTAGCTTCTCAGTCTTCGCCTGCAGTTGATCTTCAAAAAAATCGTCTTCCTAAACAGGCGATAAGAGAGCTGATCATTTGTTAATCCGAGGCCGAGGACGCTTGCCCTAATTGGTACTAGCGCTATCTTGGACCCAAAGGTCACGTTTGCTTGTTTGCTTGTGTTTGCTACTCCAACGGGTCTGCGATTCAGGGGCAGCAGCAGCCAATTCCAAACCATACCAGACCGATCCATACCAGGGAGAACGTTCTACTACTACTGCTGAGACAGGAGAGACAGACAGTCCCTTTCCGACGGCATTTTCCCTCATTCTTTAGGTCATCATAATCAATTGACTTCTGATTCACAACAGTCGTCGTCAAATCCAATCAGTTGTCTTCTTGCCCGTCTTCATTTCACCTCCATCTACCTACCCCCTTTATCATCATGGCCACAACTTCGGAAACTGCTTCCCCTATTGGCATTGCCAACGTAAGTGCTAATTCAACATTGTGGGGATGGATTTGAAGGGGAGAAGAGATTCTAACTAGTTCTTTTTGTCAACAGCTCCCTAATCAGCGGTGTGTAGCAACTGTCACGCAGCTTCAATCAGCCGAAGAATGAAGCGTGGATAAGTCTGACTGAAGCTATACAGGCACAAGATTGTCGCTAAGCGGGGTGCGGCTTTCACTATCATGGTCTGTCTCGAGCCAGCCAACCAAGATGAAGCTGTATGCTGATGCCGGAGTATAGGTTGCTGGAGAATCGGGATTGGGAAAGACCACGTTTATCAACACCCTGTTTTCGACCACTATCAAGAATTATGCCGATCACAAGCGTCGCCATCAGAAGCAGATCGACCGGACGGTTGAGATCGAGATTACCAAGGCAGAGCTAGAGGAGAAGTTCTTCAAAGGTTAATTTCTGATTCCTTCTTCGTCGCAAACGGTTACTAATGTAACGACGCGGCCGTGTACAGTCCGCCTGACCGTCATTGATACCCCCGGCTTCGGCGACTATGTGAACAACCGTGACTCCTGGCAACCAATTATCGAGTTCCTTGATGACCAGCACGAATCGTACATGCTTCAGGAGCAGCAACCCCGCCGCACAGACAAGATCGATATGCGTGTTCACGCCTGCTTGTACTTCATCAGACCCACGGGCCACACTTTGAAGCCTCTTGATATCGAGGTCATGAAGCGGTTGAGCTCTCGAGTCAACCTTATTCCCGTTATTGCCAAGGCCGACACTCTTAGCCCTACTGATCTTGCCCGTTTCAAGCAGAGAGTGAGACTTCCGGATGAATGGCCTCCCTTACCGGTAGATACTGACTAGCCCAACCTATTTCAGGTCAAAGCTGTGGTCGAAGCTCAAGGCATCAAGATCTACACCCCTCCTATCGAAGAGGACGACGAGCACGCTGCCGCCCACGCTCGCAGCCTGATGGCTGCTATGCCCTTCGCTGTGATTGGATCCGAGAAAGATGTGAAGACCAACGACAACCGGGTAGTAAAGGGTCGCCAATATGCTTGGGGTGTTGCCGAAGTCGAGAACGAGGACCACTGTGACTTCAAGAAGCTGCGCTCTATCCTGATCCGCACTCACATGCTTGATCTCATCCATACCACCGAGGAGCAGCACTACGAAGCCTACCGCGCACAACAGATGGAAACAAGAAAGTTCGGCGAGGCCAGACCGAGAAAGCTGGATAATCCGAAGTTCAAGGAAGAGGAGGAGGCTCTGCGGAAGCGTTTCACCGAGCAGGTCAAGGTCGAAGAACAGCGATTCCGCCAGTGGGAGCAGAAGCTCATTTCCGAGAGAGACCGCCTCAACAAGGATCTGGAGGCCACCCACGCTGCGTATGTGCACCTCTTGCAATTCTTGTTCTAAAAAGAGATATGGAGACAGTACTGATTGAATACAGAATCAAATCGCTCGAGCAAGAAATCGAGGCGCTGCAGGGCTCGACCACCCGGAGTCACGGACGTCGTTAAATTGCTCTCAGGCACGTTGGGTACGGCGACGAATTTCGAGCACGTGGTGGAAAAAGGAAAACTGCTTCGATTTGATTAATATTGTCTATTCTTGATTACCCCTCGAGTTTCCTTTTCGGCCTATTTTTTTCTCAGCATTCGGGGGACAACATACTTGATCTAGGCCGTTTGATGCGCTATCTTCTACTGCGCATTTATTATGCTGTATCATTTCTTTAGCCGCTGGTAGCTAGCGATGATCCCGTTACATCCTTGATAATAACCCATTTGTATTCAGTAGCGTGTCAATACAGAACTAATCTTTGTCCATGATTCGGTCATACCTTAGAGCGACTGTGTAAGAAGCTTTATCTGGTGGGGCTTACTTCAATGAGCGGGTCGGTTCCGAGGTGACATAGCTCTCTTGGGCGGAAATAACAAAGCCTCATCTCCGCAATTATTTTCAAGGCGAGAACCTTCATCACCTAGGATCTACAGCCTTGTTGTCCTTCATCCTTCTCTTACGCTGAAAAATTTAAGCATCAATGCCGGCATCAAAACAATTTCCCACGAAGCTTGTTCATACTCTCAAAACGCACAATGGTAGGCTTCTGCTCCATCCCCTAGCCACGCTCCTCATCAACTAATCGGTTTCAGGACCGGTAAATGCGGTGACTTTCTCTAGCTATCCAGGTACATATGTCCTCACTGGTTCGGCTGATCGCGCCATTCACCTCTCGCGCGCCATCCCCAACAACAGCTCTACTACTGGTCACGAGACGACTTCCCCAATCCAAAAATATGAGGCGCACGGGTACTCAGTCCTGGACGTGGCTGTCGCAGCGGACAATGCGCGGTTTACAAGCGTTGGCGGAGACCGGCAGGTGTTTCTGTGGGACGTCGAGCAAGGTCTGACTACACGGCGATGGGCTGGACATAACGCCAGGGTCGAGGCCGTACAGTTCGCTGGCGAGGGTGATTCCGTGGTGGTATCTGGTGAGCATCTTGTCCGGGCTTTCTTGTCTATTGCTATAGTAGAATCATCCACGATTCTGACCTTTCTCTCAGGAAGCGCAGACACAACCATCAATCTGTGGGACATCCGGTCCAAATCACACAAGCCGATCCAGACGCTCACCGAGGCTGGCGATACCGTTTCCTCACTACACGTACACATGCCGACGTATTCTATCGCAAGTGGAAGCTACGATGGCCGTGCTCGCATTTACGATGTCCGCATGGGCCGAACAACCGTTGACGTCCTTGCTCACCCCGTTACGAGCGTCCGGTGCTCTGCGGACGGCAATGCCCTGCTGGTTTCCACACTCGACGGCCGGATCCGGATGCTGGACCGGGCAGACGGCAAGCTGCTCAAGGCTTTTGGGGGTGAGGATGGTTTCGAGCAAAGCACTACCGGTGCGAGGGCGACGTACCGCAATAGCGAACTTAGGATTCGGTCCGTCTTTGCCAAGGGAGACGCCGTCGTCCTCAGTGGCAGTGAGTCGGAGAAAGGAGATCGGTCGCCACTGGCTCATGTCTTTGCGTGGGATGTGCTCAGTGGGGAGGTTATTGCGGCTGTGCCGGCAGGGGATGGAGTGAAGGTTGTTAGCTGTGTCGCATGGAATGAGAAAGGAGGCTGCTGGGCTGGGGGCTGCTCTGATGGTATGTCAAAACATGTCAACCTTTGTGCTTGTAGGTATCGTTTGCTAATAATGGTTCTTTGCAGGCACTGTCAAAATCTACGGCTGAACGACAAGAGGATCCTGATCGTTGCGGCCAACCAGGAAGCTCCTTGTAACATCGACGGCAGCTTGCCAGTTCGTGTCTCCCAGCAAGACCCTTCCTCGCGTGTATCCTGAGCGGAGAAGACTTGGTGGCCTTCAATCCGGATGCACACGACGCGCCGAAGCTATTCTCCAAGAGCATCAGCGTCAGACGCTGGACGCATACCAAACAAATCAACAAGGCTAGCTGCAAGGTCAAGCCCGCAGTCCATCCCTGCGCACAGAAACCCCTAGAACTTCATGCAATACAAACCCCTTTCGGAACATGCAGCCAAATACGAGTCTGCAACCTCGTTCGCGCATGCAATCAGCCCTCAACTCAACGTCCACATTGCAAACTGAGCTACATGGTCCTGTCAACCTGGCCAGCTGCTATTGGACCACTGAACCGCTGGCACGTCCTCGCTGCATAGTGCATGCTGCATGTCTGCATCGGCCTGCTTCTCGTCTGCTGTCGCAGGGGGAGTCTCTCTTCGGATCAGGGCTATTGATCCACCAGTTTGGTCCGGTAGGTCTCGACCACGCGCCGTGCTGCATACATGAGCCAATAACGGGGCTGCATGGTGACGTGTCAGTCCCAGACGCCAGTCGAGTTTCAAGTTGCGGACCTTTTGTTTGCCTACCCGGTAGACGAGATAGCTACTGAGAGATTCTAAACTGGACTTGGCGTGAAACATGGTGAGACGTCAATAATGCTGCACCTCGTGGCGATTATTTGCTAAAGCCATCTGGCACCATATCATACGTTTCGAATTGGAGTGGATCTTGTGATATTTAATGTACTGCTCGCCTATTGGATGGCATTATTCCATTTCACTTTGCATTATGGATTAGTACAGCCTGTGCCTTAGTCGGACAGGGAAAGAAAGAAAATAGACTTCACCCATCTGCAAATCCTTCAAAACAATGTCACCGTCCCAACCTGAGGGTATATTCTGAGTAGAGTCTTTTTGCGAGTTTGATATTATACAGTAACCATGCATTCTCGTCACAAAACAAGATCCGACCGAAGATGCACTGTGACTCCATCGGACCGGGGTAACGCGATTTTAACAAACTTTGATATAACACCAGAAACCTTTTTGAGCCAACAGTTCCGAAACGCCGATTTGCTGTTTTGCAGTTGATCAGATCAAAAGTCAACGGGTTGAGGATATCCTCTTTTTGAGTCATGTAGCTGTCGTAAGTTTTTTTAAGGTTCCGCCGAGGAATCCTCTTCTTCGAAGACCGTAGGCCACGAGAATGAGTGAAGCCGGCGATGTGGATTTGAACTAGAGCAAAGGTCACACTTCGAGCACACCAGCCGGCAGTTCCGGTTCATGGCTTTCGGCATCGAGCGCATCCATAGCTCGATGTAGTTCGTGGTCACCGACAAGGATTGTCCCTGCACGTGCAGTGCTAAGGAAGCTGATCTCGACGGCCGCCAGAGACGTGTCGAGGTCTGGCTGCAGATGATGGGTTGAGAGTGCCCGCGGATCGCCATTACCACTGATAGGTGCTCGGTGCACAGGACTCTGAGTAGGCGGCCTGACTGGTCCTCCAGAGTCCACACTGGACGAGAAGTAGCGGTTGATAGAACTTTCAAAGGACGAGGCACCATTGAAAGAGTGCGACAAAGCGATAGTCGATGCTTCGGTACTTTCATCCCAGGAAGCATGTGTAGCGTCGGCCAATCGACTGGCAACCCCGCAGACAATACCGGTGGCCTCGAGAGGGAGTTTGCGTAGGTCCAACGTGATGGGGACGAGGATATCTTCTTTGGAACCCAGAAGCAGGCTTGTCTCATCAGTAGACTCGGCAGATGAGGTAACATCATTCAAGAATCGAGGCAGGAGCCGCTGTTCCAACAAGAGAGAGGCTGCAGGGTCGGCAGCCGTCAGAGTGAGTGAGAGGAAGCGTGGTCTGTCCACAACCAGTGCAGTCGTCAGTGCCGTGCGGAGGATTGATATTGAGCTAGCATCACTGCTGTATGGGTGATGGGCCGCACATTGCACCAAGCGAAGAGATCGATCGACGGACGGCACAATGTGGTGCTTCCGCAGGGAAGCAAAGGTTCGCCCCTGCAGTTCATCAAGTGATGAGGGAGGAGGAGTTGCTGGCGGAGAACCCAAACTACTCGCTGAACGAGACGAAACCGGGCTGCTATAGCTGCTGAACTGACTTTGATTATGATTTATGAAAGCCTCGGTGGTGATTTCGAAGTGGAACCCCCGCTTCTCCAGCGCTTCAATGACCTGTGCTTTACTGCGCAGAGGCACAATGATGTAGTCGGAAAAGTAAGTGGAGATAAAGAAGATAGAACTGGGAAGGCGAAGTCAGCAATGGTCATATAAACGAGACCGTGTTCGGGGAGGTTCGTACATTCCTGCCATTGCTAGAGGACTCGTCAATTCAAGCACGCGTTGGCCAGCTTCTAGGCCCTCGCCGTACACCTGCATGGCTATGAAATCATCCTGACTGATGGACAGGCGGCTCTGGGTAGAGGCATGATCTTGAACGAAACTATCGATCATGGGGGCGAAATACTTGTTGGCAAGCTGCCTGGGGCACATGATGGAGCATTCTACCGGGGTGATAGAGAAATTCAAGAAGGCAGGTTGCGCATGCCTGAGGCCATCTCTGGAGCCGTTCTTCAAGACCTCCGCATGACCCTGGTCTACGGGGGGTACCTCGTGGAATAGGACCTGTAGGATCGGAGTCAAGAAATACGGGTAGAGATCCAACGGTATATGCACCAAGGCAAGTCGGTCGTCCTGTCTCTCGATGATGGTGGTTAGCAAAACAAGCCTTGCACAAAATGATCTATACGAGTCATAATCCTTGATGGGGCGATGGATAGCGTGATTGATGAACAGCAAGATGGAGGCTTACCATAAATTGGACTTGAGCCGAGATGAGAGACAATGAATGATCCATCATTGCCCTCGGTAAGATCACAAATGATACCTATAGGCAGCTTCGTGGGAATTGACGCTCTGTCTTCTGTCTTTCACAAGGCTAGATCCTCGGAGAAGTGAGGTATCCTAATGTGATACCCCGTGGGCTGATTTGAAAGTATAAGTAGCGGAATGGGACTCGCAGGTACAGTCGGGAGAAGTTCCACAGATAGAAGGCAGTAGGTATCGAAAGGCCAGATTGAACTTATACAGATGAGGCTGTCTCGGTGGACAGTACAGTTGATGTTAGGGTAATAGGCAACAATGTCACTGAGACGTGAATGATAATGAAAGAAATGAGTATAAATATAGAGCCGAGTAAAACTCAGATTCCATGGACCAAAGCGCGGCAGACATCAATGGAGTAGTCGTTTCTTTTTCCTCCTGTATGTCCTTGATGGCCCGAAGCCCTGCGTCTTCATTGTTCTGGTCTGCGGAGTGGAGTTACGCCATTGTTCGGAGAAATGATAGTATCGGTGAAGCCAGCACGCAAGAATGTCCCGATGTTGACGATGTTATTTCAAATCTAAACCAGCAAATGCTGTAGGATCGAATGCAGAGAAGACGATACGCAGGTTGTAAAGAAGAGAGGAGGAAGAGCGGAATGGATGGATGGTTGTATCTCCAGTTGTGGTGACTCAAAAGTGGCCTTCCTTTTTGGGCGAGGGTAAAGTGCCTGAGGTTCTTCTTTTCGCTTCAACGCCAATGGAGTCTCACCACAACTTAATCAGTATAGAATGTTGAATATGGATTCCCGGTAATCGATTCGTAGAATATAGGAAAGCAAATGAGGTAGTTGAAAGAAAAAAGCAAAGAGGAGTCTTATTCTTTTCTGCTGTGAAGCTCCACTGTCGAGTATACCGGGGAAAATGAATAAATATAATTGTCTTTGAAAGCAAAATGTTATCCTAGTGATCCTTTTATCCTCAAATAAACCTTTTTAGCAAATCCCCTTTGCAAGTCGATTCTCTGCAGTGACTGGTCAGAAGTGGCTCTACGTAGTTTGGTAGGTAGACTTTATCTCCAGCTTTTGTGGCTCCACCCACTGCTTATCAGAGCCATTAGTATTATTCCCAGTCATGACCGTGACCATGATGACCAACAAATCTGCTTCCATCGCCACCCCGCGCTAGGCGCTGCTTCCGTCGTTACGGTGGGGGTGTTCCAGTCTATAGGAGTAAATAATAGCGAGGTAATAATAATAAATGTTAAATGATGATAATTAAATAATAGTACAAGGTCAGACTAAAATGTGCGTTATGACCTCCTCCCCCAGCGCACGGTTCGAGGAGCAGCTGATGGTGAATGGCTGGTGCTCATGTTCATCCGCTCCTCCCCGCATTTTTCCTCTTTCCTCTCTGCTCGATTTGCAGGGTTGTGTGAGGTGGCTAGTCAGGCACCATAGTTGCTTGCTATGAATCCATTTGCTGTTCTCACGCATACATACACATCCATCCATCAATCCTGCATACGGCGTAATGTGGCAAGCCAATTAATGGGAGCAGGAGGAAGATGGGCTAACTGCTTGTCCCCTCCACCTTTTTCTAAAATCGTCTGAGAGTTCCTGTGCTGGACAACAAGAGACTCGCTAGTACTCGCTCCACTGAGGGACTCTATCAGTTGGGAAAAGCTCCGAGAGCTTGCGAAGATAGATAGTTCCGTTTAGCAAGACCAACACCAAAAGGGTCACCGTGACACAGTCATTTGAACAAGGTGGAGGCATTTCTCTAACAGTCAAACTCATTACTCCTATCTACGAGTTCTCCGTACTACTGAAGGCCTCTCACACAAGAAGGGGATCCATCAGCATCATCGCCAACTCCATCAGGAAATGATGCCATCATGATGGCGCCACTCTAATGCTTTTAGACTGCATATTAGACTGCATAAAAGAATGCACGCTGGCTACTGACTGCCTAGTGCCTACAGACCTCCTCACTCAAGCTCATCCAGCCACGGAAGTGACACAATCCCCTAAAACTCAATGCGATGCAGCTGGAATGTCATATTTCTCAATCCCCGCATCTTTTGCGCTTGAAGCGCTTCAGTCAGAATCTCACTCTGTTGTTCAATCCGATCGTCGTTTCATAGCAATTTGAGCTAGCTGATTGCAAGGTTCGCATGGGCTTGCTGAGTCGGATGATCATTCCTCCCTAACCCTACGAACTGGTAACTTCCTGTCACTCGCATCAATGAGACTTTGGTTTGCACGGCGACCGTCCAATCATCCAAACCCCATGGGCGATCATCCGGTCCATCCCTGTTGCTGCCAAGGGGTGCCAGGTGGGTGTCGCTGAGTCGCTCTGAAGAATCACAACTTATCTATCTAGCTTTCTATCTTGCAAGTCCAGATAAGCTGGTAGCAACCCCTCATTTGCATTATGCGTCCATTAATCCATCCATCCTCCAAATGTAGCGCCATCTATGGTGAGTTTCAGCTACCTTGGGGATGATGTAGCCGTGCAGATAGGGAAACGCGGCATTGTCACGGAGATAAGGAGGAAAGGTGTCGGGAAATTCTCTCATTTACATTTCTGCAATTTGGCGTAGATATGTTCATAGTAGGCTGCAAACATGGAAGCGGATGTGTCACGAGCCCTTTTTTTGAATCCGTTGTGCTTTATTTAGATTTAAGGGTGTTGATAGGAATGGATTAACCATGCTTCGATCGCGTAGGATACATCTCTTCACCTTCTTGCTGCAACCCAGTGATAGACCCATCAAATGATATCCTTTCAAAATAGATATGGTTCCCATTTCGTAGATACAACGTAAGAACAAAGACTGCAAACGCCCGCAATGCATGAGGCCTATCTCCGAAGAAGTGGAAGTGAGAATACACGAGACAAGATCCCGAGAAAACGCGCAAGGAGATGTACGGACTAGGGGGATACGCTTTAATCATCCACTCTTGCGCGCTTCGATCCCCGATCCTCACGTTCAACTTCCTGGATCCCGTAGCGCTTCTGTCCTGCTCCCCCAGTTACGTCGGCGATCATGCTATCGATGCCAAAGGGGTCTGTTGTATCTTTCTCAAACTGAACGGGACCGTCACGGGTCTGTGAGGAGGGATGAAGTCAGCTGAGTTGTTTGATTACACTGTGATGGTTCATGCAATACAGGTTTCCATGGGAAGGTAAAAGGGAAAAAAAGGGAATCTCACCTCAGCCTCAGCTGCGCCCCGGAAACCTTCTTTGGCCTTGCCCAGAACTTCAAAGCGATTGGTTTTCTGAATCTTGCTCATCTCCCCTTCAGCTCCCTCCTCGTCGTCCACATCCACCTGAGCGCGAGGCCGGTAAATGCTGTTGATCGCGTCCTGCGCGGCAAACAACGGCTTGTCGTAGGGATTATCCTCGTTGAACCCGGCATGCATGCCACTTGTCTGGTTGAAGAGCCGAGAGTCCCACATGGACTCGGATGTCTGGGTGGGCTTGGCCAACCCGAGAGCGACCTTCTCCGAGATATCACGGTTCTGCTCGCGGGCCATCATCTGGATCCGGCGTTCCGTGCCCATGCGAGACTGGCGCAGCTGTCGCTCGGCGTCCTGGCGGCGCTCGCGACGAATGCGCTCGCGCTCCCGGGCTGCTTCGTCATCGCTGGGCGTGGCAGACCGTGAGTAAGCGGAAGGACTGCGGCTGACACTGCGCGTGTGTGACCGCGCACGAGAATCGCGACGGCTGCTTGTGGCTCGCTCCTCGCGGGCCTTCTGCGCCAGGGCGCGGAGATGCTCCTCCTTCTGAGCCTTCTCCTTCTCCGCCAGCTTCTGTTGCATTTGTGCGCGCAGTCGTACTTCCTCACGGGCATGTCGGTCAGCAGTAAACAGGGCCTCGGCGAACTGAGCGAACTTGTCGTTGATCGTAACATCTTGTAGTCCCCGTCCGTCCGCAGCGAGACGCTTGTCCAGTGGGACTGTGTAACCCTTGGGATTTTTCCAATTCGACACTGGAGGTGGGATCCGCCAGGCCTCCTGGTCTTCTGCCGTCAGCTTTCGAGGCGGAGAATGCATAACGGGCGGAGGTGGCGAGGGCGGGCCGCGGGGGATCTTCTTGTGCTTGAACTTGGGTGGCTCCAAGGGATCCTGTTGTCTCTCGACGATCTTCATGATCCGATCGTTCTTCCGCGTAGTATCACCCATCTGGTTGGCAGGCGTGTACCGGACAAACGTAGGCTCTGCCCTCCGACCACCCTTGACGTTCTTCGGCTTCTGCGCCGCCACAGCACCCTCGACCAAGCTCGCCAGCGCATTCTTGGTCTTCTCCATCTGCGCCTCCACCTCTTCCTCCGATGGACGGTCTAGCGAAATCTCTCCCATATCCACCCGCTGCCGGAGCGGAATCAGATCCTTGAAGGAAGCATGGACGATCCGGTTTTCGCTGTGACCCCGGCGGGCGATCGCGTCGTACTTGACTTTTCCTTCTGCATCAACCTGCACCGCGAGCGCGTTCGATGTCGACGCAGTACCCTTGCGGCCCATGTCGAGGGGATACTGTGCGACCAGGATCTCGGGGAACGCGCCACCGTCGCCGAAATCCTCAGGTGCTCGAGGTCGCCATCCTGCACGGTTGCCATATGGGGGAGGACCGGTTTTCTATACATCGTAGACAAAGATAGTCAGCACACAAACAAAATGAAAAAAATCCCTGGAGCGTAGAGACGGAATAGCCCACCCTCAAAACAATCTGAGTTTGATCAATCTGGTCGGCGCCCACGATCCGCGGACCACGGGGCTGGGCATGTTGAGGCACCTCCTCATCCTCGCCGGTATATTTCGGCTTTGGTAAAGACTTAAAAAGCCCCTCTGCAATGGATGTCATTGTCGAAAGGGGGACACGGTAGAAAGGATGAATGACGTGGGATGGTTGAACTTTTGGATGGCGATGATTGCTTTTCGTTTGGCGGCCAACAGGCGGAAGTGCGCGTGTGGTTCATGTGGCTTACCGTAGTAGCTGTCCTGCCCAGGAATCGCCTGCAGCACTGGACGATGAAGACATGACTGATAGCCAGAAGTTATAAAATTACGGTTTTTGTTATACACTTGTGCTCTTGCTGACAATCTCTATAACTATGTAATTATGATATTGTACAACGTAGTACACCAACAACACCAAGAATAAAGTGACCAGTTTCGGGATTCCCTTCAGAGATAGACTGACATGTCTAAGGTACTCACGAAATGTTATGGCCATATCTAAAAAGCCAAGACTTGGGAGAATGTTCTTGAAGGCGACAAGATGATTCAAATGGATAAGAGTGAAATCCCCGGGGGGGTGGGGGGAGGAGAGGAGGGGAGGGGAGGCGCTGATTATAGGAGTAGAGACAATATGTAAGAGAACGTTAAGGGATCAAGCGAGATCATCAGATCTCGTTCAATCAAGCAGATGTGTGCGCATAGGACATGCAATGCCCTCGGAATCGTTTGCTTCCACAAAATGCTCTTTTCCGCGATAGGTATACCAAATCTTCAGCTTCTTCGGGAGAAGAGGGGCGGGATCGTGGAAGCCAAGAATTTGGAACTAATAAACGGTTAGTGAAGTCCATAATAACGTCACAGCATGTATACTGACTTTGACAGTGTCCTTTGTTATCACCAGCTGGCCGTGGTCCACCAATGCAGCGACAGGAATCGTTACATCAGCGATCTCCAAATCCTTAGCGACGTTGGCGTTGTCATTTGTCCATCTCTTCGGCGACGGGTAATGGCCATATTCAGCTTTGGTGATGACCAGGCCACCTTGCGCTTCCTCCCTCGCTTGCCGACGGTGTACATGTTCGGCCATAAGTTCGACTGCCTGTTGGCTTTCTGCTTTCCTCTTCGGAATCAACCTCTTCAGCTGCTTATGCCGCCGAGCAATGGCGCGGCGGCGCTGCCTCCGTTCTCTCGGGCGGATGTATCCGAATTCCAGTGCGCAGTAAGCCACCCAGGGGAAGATAACTGCAAGCGCGGCGGCATCGGCATTAACAGCATCCATCGGACAGACCGCAACGGGAAGAGTGATCTTCTGCCCGAGTCTGCTCCAAGAGGCTGTCATGACGAGGCCACGGCCACCTTGGACACCGACTCCGAAGCCCACGCGGGTGAATCTGCCTACCTGGCGCGTGCCGGAGATGTTCCAGGCTAGGGACAGGTCGATATTCATCGAGCTCCGGACTTCAACGCGCACAGACCGAGGCTCGCTCGCGGGCGGCAAAGAATAATGACCCTCGGAACTCCACTCGGAGCGAGAAAGCTCGCTGGCTGCCTTGCCATTGAAGATATTCCGAGCATACGTGAAGGACAGTCCTGCTTCCTCAGGTGATGCAGTAACCACCGTCTGCCAGGACTCGGCAGCATTTGCCTCGCTGCGCGCCTTCTTGCGGATCTGCCTAAGTTCAGCTTCCTCTTCATCCTCCTCCTCCTCAGCCGCCTGGTCCTCGTCGTCACCCAGCACAATTGTATTTCTGTTTTGTTTGGGAAGGGACAAGAATCCCAGCTGGAATTGACTCTGCTGAACAAAAGCAGTCATTTCCATGGCCGACTCCGTATCGAGGCCAAGGTTGGCAATCGGGCTGAATAAGACCTGCAGCACCTTTGGCCAGGAGATGGTACCGCTCGACCAAGAGCAGAAGGCGTGCTTCCTTTCACCAATCTCCTTTGTCACCTGCAGTGCAAGCATAGGTGGCGTTTTTAGGAGAGAGTTGGTGATAATGGCGCTCGTGTTGACCTGGAATGGTTTCGTCCCTGGAATCGGCTGAACTGCGGTGGCTATGGTTCCTTGCAACAATGGAGTCGGCAGGACTGCCGCGTTCAAAGCAAAGGCCGAGTCTCGCAGAAAAGCAAAAGGGCGCTTGGCCAGAATCCCTTTCATGCTCGCGATATCTCCAAAGCGGTGGCTTATGCCGGCGCCCAGACTGATGTCTCTTCCTGCAATGAACATGGGTAAAGGAACCTGCTGAACAGTTAGAGAACAATCCAACAAGGTTGCGGAAGACAATATGTATCTGGACATACAGCTCGCGTCACTATCCCCTCATCCTCAATCTGAAATTGCATCTTACGAAAAGAACGCCGGAGATTGCCAGAGATTCCTGCGTTAAACGTAATCTCAGGTCCTTGAGCCTCCAGATATGAATGGACTTTCTGCGGACTCGATCTGCCATCAGGCGCTTCATCCTCGTCCTCGTCCTCAGCCTCTTCTTCCCCCAAGAGAACCTCCCGTGTGGGAAGCGGCGCCTTGAACGAGTATCTGATAGCATAAGAAGACAAACTGGGAGAGGGAATATGAATATACACCTCCCCGGCATCCTCGTCAACCTCAATCATGTTTGACGCATCAACCCCGAGAGTCAGCGAGCCCTGTTACCGTTCCACACCACAGTCAGCACGACATCACGCAACAAAGACAGGCAAGACAGCAAAGGGAAAGGAAACGGGAGAAGGAGAACCCACCCTACTCTGGACCAAGCTATTCAGCACCCTCCTCTCCCGCCTCTTCATTGTCTCCAGAAACCACCCGCGAAACTCCTCCGGCGTCTGAGCCCTCACACCAATCTGCATCTCCGCCTCCCCACCCCTTCCCATCGCCCCTCCAGCCCCCCACTCCCTCCGCACCCCCTCCGCCCCAAGGAGATCATAGACAACCCTCTTCTTCGGATCAAGAAGCGTCTCGTACGCCTCCTGGATCTTCGCAAAGTGTCGCTCCGCAGCCTCCCGCAGCTCCGCAGGCTGTTTATCCGGATGGAAGCTGAGCGTGAGAATGCGGTACGCGGAGCGGATCTCCGCATCGTTAGGGGCGGGGTCCCGGCGGAGGCCTAGCAGGGCGTAGTAGTCCTCTTCTTCGGCGGGGTAGGACATGATCATGCTGTAGTCTACGTCCTCATTCGAATCATCATCATTTCCGGAAGCGTATCTCGTCCGCTGGGGGGCTGTGTCATCCGTATCCGCTCCCCCCCAGTCCTCGCTCGCGGAGGACATCGTAGCTGACGTAGCGCAGCGCACGCCAGAACGTCTAACCGAACCTTGATACGTGGGTAAGAATCGCGTGCACAGATTTCACTAGCGCGTCCAGCACCGGCAGTCCATTTTTATCTCGTGGAGAAACTGCAATTGTAGTTTTTCCTTCATTTCTTTTCTTCGATGACGTCGGGAGAAAAACAGTGCACGGTGTTCCGGGATGCCGTTGCTCCGTCTCCGCCTTTGTTTTCGTCCTCCCTTCATCTCCATTATTCCATTCGCCCTATGTGGTATCATCAAATATGATGCCAACTCAAGTAAAGCTCAGGTTCATCGAATGTAGCAAGTCTAATTCGGATTATCTCATTTAGATTCATGCCTCCACGTAAACCCGAAGTCTTAAGGTAGACTGACAAATGAATGGGCCTGAATGGATATGGGCTGGAAATCGGCTCTTTTATGGCAAACCGCCTAGCTTGAGTGTAGTGATTGAAGTCAGAGTCAGTTGATCTATTGCATCTTCATATAGGGGCATCGGAACACGCCATGCGATAGCCATAATCGATGGTGCTTCTGGAAAATCGATAGCTTAACTTTTGACGCCGACGGAGCAAAACCTGGCTGCAGTTCATATTACTCGAAAGATCTCAGAAGAACAGGTGCGATCATCCGATCTACGAATCACCGAATACCAAGCGATACCATACCCGAAAATCAAGGCCAATCAATGCTACTATTTTCCGTGCCTTTTGGATCAAGCGTTAGACATCAGATTCATCGGTAGTATACATCATCAATGCGCAAAGCAAACTATCCCAACCCGTCGTCATCGCTCAAAACGCTCAAAGATGAATTTGGTACGCCTTTTGAAGCTGGCAAGATAAAGGTCACCGAAATCGTTCACCAGAAAGACATTTAATTTATAAATGGAGTCGGGTTGAACCCGGGTGTTGGTGACAAGGAAGAAAAAAGTCGTGTCTTTTAATACAGGTCGTAACAGTGCAAGGTGTATGGGCGACGGAAAGCAGAGTACAACGACCTCTTTCAGTCCGCTTCTCTAATCCAGAGTATGCTGGATTCTGTCAATGAACCGTCTTCCGGCCCCAACGCGCTAAATAGTCTGTCATGGGGCAGAGCGCCATAGAACAGATCATCGGCGATTGGGGACACCTGCTTCTGGATCCGGCTGTCCAAGGAATGACCCTTTGCAGCAAACACCATCTTGTGGTCCAACTTGATCGGGTCGTGGAGGATTTCCATCAATGGCTCCAGACGAGTCTCGATGAGAGACGCTAATGGCAGCGAACTTTCCCAAAAACGACCCAGCTCCTTGACAACGTCGAGGCCACCTCTGATGAGCTTGACGCACTCGGGCATATCAACTACCAACCCAGCCGCACTAAGGATGTCCACTGCGGATAGGATCACATAGCCTAGGAAAGGGTTGAGAATAGTCGCTTGCCAGGGTGCGGAGTCTATGGCGATTCGGGGTGCGTCATATTCACCCATGTAATGTGCCAAAGCGAGAGAAATCCGCAGGGTCTCTGCTGCATGGGTCCTCGCCATGCGAACCTGCCTGCTGACAAACTCTGCGCGATAGTCTTGACCACGCGCATGTCTATTCAGTTTCATCATTGTTGCATGATATAACAGATGTATCGAGAAAAATGGATCGGGTTTTCTTGCCCGAACGCTTCGCTCCATATTCAGGGTGCTGAACCTCAAATGTTCCGGCAGCTTGGCAACCCAAGCGTCTGCGCGCTGGCAGATTGTGGTATAGAATTCCTCAAAAGGTGTAGTGGAAGACTCCACCGGAACCAGGGATAGACGAAAGATGTGATCCGCCACCTCTCCCCAAAGGGATACCATTTCTATCAAAAGCGC